AGCGAGCACTGCCATCGTTTTTGTCCTCCATAATAGAGCACTGCATATATCTTCTGACATATGAGATGGGAAGAAGGGGTACATCATACCATTTGGATGGTGGCCGTGTTGACTCCTCCGGCGAGTGCTATGTTGCCTTGATCTCCTTGGTTAACACCGTCATGGAAGGAAAGAAAGCCCGAGGGGGTGCAAGTGGAGCAATGAGTTGAAGAGGAAAAAAGGGCGCAAAGAGAGCTAGTGGGCGCGACGAGGCGGGCATGGTGCGGCTAGACCAGGTGCGGCGACTGGTTCTGTCCGCGTCGGCGATTAACCAGTTCGACTCCAAAAAAACAGCATCTCAGAGAGGTCGTATTTCTGTGGGTTGGTAGTAATGGAATGGTTCCATTATCCCAAGGCGTCGACCACACGGCCTAACATGGCCTTTCCGGCGGGTCTTGGAAACTGTCGTGGCGCTTTGGTGACAAAGGTCATCGGAAGGCGAACATTTAATCTAGGCCCGGTCGCCTTTCTATGAAGGTGAGCAGCGCAATCCCCTTGTTGAAATTTGGATATTAAGGAAGCCGTATTTCGCAATAGCAGCTCCGAGAAGCTGGGCTTAGGGTGCGCCACCTGCGGTCATTTTAGTGACTCAATTTGCAGGCTTCCCTTAGCTCAGACTGGTGTCGCTACCTCCCAGGACCGGAATGATCATCCACTCCCGATGAGTCTACATTCATCCCTGAATGTCGTGGGTACTCTTCACTTCCCCTCCATCTTGTAACCGTCACCTGTAATCCCCATAGTTTCTCCTTCTTACGCCGGGTCCGCGACCTCACAAAAATAGACAACAAAACAACACAAAATGAGGAAAGTTGCAGTATGGGGTAAAATGCGGCAAGGATTTTTTGAAAAAAAAATACGGAAATGTTAACGCCCACACGTGTGGGCGTTGACCATCTCGACCACACGCATCCATCACCGTTCAGTACTATATGCACGAATCTTGGCACAATCTGACCGATTTTCTGTGCCACGTAGGACAACGCATGTGTGTGGTGTGTGACATAGTTCGCCCACACATTCGTTTTACCACACGGAGGGCCGATGTGTGGGCGTTTAGCAGTTCACCCACACATCAGTTTCCAGTCACGCATAAGGGCTGGTGTGTGGGCGTTTGCCATCTCGCCCACACGTCCACCTCCTCTCCCACACCCAAGCTGCCAGTTGCCATGCGTTTTGCAGTGTACATGGCAACTGCCCTAGTGTGATTGCAAGCAGATGGCAACTCTCTTTTTTTTATCCGAACATGTCAGTTGCCATATGTTTTGCATGGTACATGGCAAATTGCCCTAGCATGCACGTAAGCAGATGGCAACTCTCTTTTTTACATGGCAACTGCCCTAACGTGCTTGTGAGCACATGGCAACTCTCTCTTTTACCCGAACATGTTTTTTTGCCATGCCATTTTTTCAGTGCTACATGGCAACTGCCTAGTGTTAGTAGGTGGCAACTCCTAAAGTTTTTGAAATCATGGCAACTGCAGTAGACCAGACCACACATGGCAACAGCTGTAGTTGTCCAAAAAATGACAATCTGGAACTTTGACCTGAGATGGCAACTGCAGTTGATCAGACATGGCAACTGTAGTTGTCCGACATGGCAACCGTAGTTCAGCGACATGGCAACTGCACTTAAACGAACATAGATGAGGGTCTGGCCCATGGCAACTGCGTGCGCGCGGTAAAGTGTCACGTGGGGCGTGTGGGACCACGAGGTACGAGGCCTGACGTACCGGGCGTGTGGGCGAAATAGATAACGCCCACACACGCGCGTATAAGAGGGACCGGGAGGAAAAAAAGCGTGTGGGCGCTAGTTGTTTTGCCCACACACAAGCGTGTGGGCTGATCCTCCTAGGCATCACACAGACCGTGTGGGCAGATCCCTTAACGGGCACACGTGTGACAGTTATCGGCGTCCAAAAAATAATATCTGCCAGAAAGATCAAATCTCGGGGTAAAAATAATAGAATTTACTCTAAAACTAAAGAGCTCATTGCATGATTCGTGGATCATGATGCCCATGTTGAGTATCCAGCTGCAAATTAATGACAAGATCGTCGATCTACGAAGTCAAACAGATCGCCGGGAGAAGAAGCCCGGGGTGACCGTGTACCAGCACGTGATTCAGGCCCGGGCTGATCGTCCGGCAGCAACATCGCCGGTGCAGCGGCGAGAGATGAGACCCCTCCGGAGATCCGGATCTTGTTTCGTTTTGTACTCGACTCGATCGTGCAACGCCGTGCCTGGCCCTTGGCGCCCACGTGTCCGTTCTCCCGCGCGCCCTTATCCTCCACCCGCGCGCGCTGCCCCCCACTCACTGAACTCAACTCGCGCCAAATCAGCTTCCGTTACTAGGCAGCGGCAGCGTGACTGAGCTCGTGCGTGCGCGCGTGCAGCATGGCGCCGTTCCTGCTCGCGGCCCTCGCCGGCGCCGTCGCGCTCCTGATGCCGGGCGGCGCCGAGGCACGCGTCCTGCTCTCGCTCGACGACTTCGGCGCCGTCGGGGACGGCATTGCCAACGACACGCAGGTGGGCAGCAATGTCGCGAGAGCCATCTCGGGCGGCATGGGGGAATTCCGTTGACTCTGTTTGCCTCTTTCTTTCCCCAGGCATTCGTCGACGCGTGGACGGCGGCGTGCGCCACCGGCGGCAACACCTACCTCAACGTCCCCGCCGGCAAGTCCTACCAGATCTGGCCCGTCACGCTCGCCGGCCCCTGCCGCGGCGAGATCAAGCTCCTGGTTCGTACCCGCACCTGTGGCAGCACATTCTGTCTCCCCCCTTTTCTATCCACAGCGGCGTCACGTGCTCACAGTGCACTTTTGGGCCCGTCAGATTTCCGGCAACATCGTCGCGCCGGAGAGCCCGGAGGAGTGGGAGGACGGCGACCAGGGCCGGTGGCTCCACTTCTCCGGCGTGGGGGACCTGTCGCTGAGCGGCGGCGGCATCGTCGACGGCCGGGGCCAGCAGTGGTGGGCGGGGGCCTGCGAGGACGAGAACTGCACCTCGTACCGCCAGCGCGAGGTCGCCCCCATGGCGCTCCACTTCGAGGACTGCCAGGACGTGAGCGTCAAGGGCCTCACGCTGCAGAACAGCCAGCGGCAGCACCTCGTCTTCACCCGCTGCTACAACGTCGAGGCCAACTACCTCCGAGTCACCTCGCCGGAGTACAGCCCCGGCACCGCCGGCGTCCTTGTCGTCAGCTCCACCAACGTGCACATCAAGAATGACCTCTTCTCCGTCGGTACGTTTCACTGGTTCTGAATCTGAACTGAAATTTTCTCTCGCAGGCGAATTCTGCTGGTGTTTATGTATGTTTTCTGTCTGCCATTTTCAGGTGGTGACTGCGTGTCGATTGTGGGCAATTGCTCGGATGTCCGGCTCAGAGCAATCTCCTGCGGGCCTGGCCTCGGCATCAGGTAACGTGTCATCTCTTTGCAAATGGAGTAGAATTTTCATCAAATGTTAAGCTGAATGTGTCATGTTCTTCTTCATCGTCAGCATTGGAGGCTTGGGCGAGAACCAGAGTAGTCACAAGATAGAGAAGATCAAGACGGACACCATGTTCATCTCCAACACCAAGAACGGCGTACGCGTCAAGACCTACGAGGTAGTACAATATGTAGTGACCATGAACTAAAATTCTCATCTGAAGAAAGAATGGCCGTGTGACATGGTAACATTGAGTTTTTTCTGTGGTGTTCTTGTTCATCATTCAGGACGGCTGCGGGTTCGCGCGCAAGGTGAAGTTCGCGCAGATCATGATGAGGAACGTGGCCAACCCCATCGTCATCGACCAGCACTACTCCGCCGCCAACCGGGGAACTCAATGCGGCGCCCCGGTACGACCGAGCTCGCCGGTCGTCTTGTCTGAATCCGATGGTGCATTTCACTAGCAGCAGTGTCTCTGAATTTGTTTGGAACTCTCTCGTGCAGAACGGGAGCGCGGTGGCGGTGGAGAACATCAACTACATCGACATCACCGGCACGTCGGCGACGGAGCGGGCGGTGACGTTCGCGTGCAGCGACGCCATGCCGTGCAGGCGCCTGTATCTGGACGGGGTGAACCTGACGACGGCCGGCGGCGGGAGCACGTCCGCCTACTGCCACCAGGCGTTCGGGAAGCACGTCGGGGACGTCCTCCCGGAGTCGTGCCTCGGCAAGGAGGACTTCGTGCAGCTGCAGGCGGCCCCGACCACCGGAGACGCTCAAGACGAAGAAGATGCTGCTGATTGGTGAAACTGTTCCTAGAATTTGATCTTGCAGTGCGGGCTTGTATGCAGTGTGTGTGGATTCATGAAATAAATCATTTTTGTTTGAGATATAGTATAAGATATAAATGAACATGCCTTCAAAGCATGCATAGTTTCAAAGACGAGACACCAATATGATAATATCCACAAGTTGTCCACTTTACCCTACCAAAGGTAACACAACAGCGTACTTCCTTTGTCCGTGAATAAGCGTACATCTAACTTTTTATCTTAAGTTAAAGTTTCAAAATTTTGATCAACTTTATAGAAAAAAGAAGCAACATTTATAACGCTAAATTAGTATCACTAGATTCGTTTTGAAATGTAGTTTCATAATGTACTACTACTCTTTTTTATAAATTTAGTCAAAAAATTTAAACTTTAACTTAGAACAAAAAGTAGTAGTATACTTATTCGCGGATGTACGGAGTATTATCCTAGTTTCACCGATGAACTCAACAGCACCTCAACCACCTCGCCGAAAGTGACACGGAGTCAGCAGCGAGGGAAACAGCCAGTACGAAATAAAGTCAATCCCCACCAGCCGGACAGCGATCAGCAGAGGTTAGAGTCACCAAAGCCACACACCAGATTCAGATTTGGGGGCAAATATTTTTCAGAAAAGAAGGAGAATTCAGAGCAGCAGACGCAGATGAGATCTACTTGAAGGGGGAAGACCAGATCGAGAAGAGATTGAGCAAGGAACAAGATGATGATGTCGCCGAAGCAGCTGCTGACCACCATCCTCATCGTCTTCTCCACGCTCTCCTTCATCAAGCTCATGCTCCTCACCCACTCCGCATCGTCGCCCGCGCGCCCGGGCCGCTCCGCCTGGGACGCCGGCGGCTCCGGCAACGGCACCGCGGCCAGGGACGGGCTGAGCGCCAAGGAGTTCGCTTTGCTCCGCTCCGTCGTGGCCGCGCGCGCGCCGTGCGGGCTGCTCGTGTTCGGCCTCTCGCCGCAGCTCCTCGCGCTCGCGGCCGTCAACGACGGGCAGGGCGCCGCCACCGCCTTCGTCACCGACAGCGCCGAGGACGCGGCCAGCGCGCGGCGCGTGCTCGCCGGGCGCGGCCCCGGCTCGGCGGCCGTTCACCGGGCCACGTACCCCGACCCGGCCGGGGAGGCGTGGGCGCTGCTGCGGCGCGCGCGGGCGAGCCCGGTGTGCGGCCGGCCAACGGGAACGGTGCGCAAGTCCGGATGCCGGCTGGCGCTGACCTCGCTGCCGCGGGAGGTGCTCGACGCGAGGTGGGACGTGGTCGTCGTCGACGGGCCGAGCGGGGCCGGGCCCGGGGAGCCGGGGCGGATGGGCGCCATATACACCGCGGCCGCGCTCGCGCGCGCGGCGGCGGGCGGCGCGGTGGACGTGGCGGTGCACGACATGAACCGGACGGTGGAGCGGTGGTACGCCAGGGAGTACCTCTGCGAGGACAACCTCGTCGCCGCCAAGGGGCGCCTCTGGCACTTCCGTGTCGCCGCCGGCGGGCCGCCGGATGCGTTCTGCCCGACTGCTCCGGTCCAGATCTTGTAACCTGAGCAAGCGGAGTAAGATCGCCGGCGGTGGGCAGGGCACGGCATGTCGGCAAGGAGGAATTCGTCCAGCTGCAGGCCCCGACCACGGGCGCCGGAATGCTGCGTGGAGAGACTGAAAATCTTGATGGCGAAGAAAGTGCAGATTGGTGAAGCTGTTGCAAACTTGCAACCATTTCGGCCGTGGCCATGTCTGACTGTCTGTGATCTTGTAATGTGATACGGCAACAGAAGAGGCGTGAGTTTGTCTCCAATCTAAAAATTCGTAAAATTTTTGTCCCTAAATACTAGAAAAAGTGCGCGTGCACTATCTGGCGCTCGCGAGCGGCCGCTCGCTGGCCGCACGATGTGTCCCAAACCACCGCACGCATCGACCAGGTGCTACCTGGTCAGGCACTCTCAGCCGCTCGCGTTTGTGTCTATCCCCACGTGTCCACGCCCTTCGCCCCAATCCTCCTCGCATGGCCGCCGCCGCCACACCTCAGGCCGGCCATCTCCGCCCCTCTCGAGTCAGCCGCCTCCGCCGCAACTCGCGTCGGCCACCGCCGACCCACCTCCGGAGCGTTCCATCCCAGAGGTGCAGTGAGTTTACTTTTCTCCCTTCGATGGAGTTTGGAGAAGAAGGTGCTAACTGCTGGAATTAATTGGACGGCAGGTCAAATGGGCCGGCGTTGCGGTCGGCCATCACCGCGCACCTTTGTTCGGCACGGCGACGACGGCGAGCACTGCACAGTAGCGGTGCCCACCAGCTCGTCTCGCTGCAGGCGGACTCTCGTTGTGGTGCTCGCGGGCGGCGCTTGCTGGCACAACGGCCGTCCAGTCAGGGTGCATGGAAGATTTGTGAGATGTGGATGAATCTGTGGGTGGGTCGAGGAATCTGTGGGTCGGAGTTGGAGTCAAGGTGGAGCTTATCATGTGGATTTCGTGGAGCCACTTATTGTGAAGGCTGGAGCAGTCAGGGAGATCTATGACAGTGTGAAAGAAGAAGCCAAGATCGTCCCTGCTGATATGGCAAGCAGCAAGCAGCAAGCCTGTCAGTTTCTTGATGCTACTATGTCTCTTGTTTGCGTCTGCAAGTTCAGCTGGGTGACTACATTTTCCTGCATAGCAGTGAGATAATCTGTGATTTTGCTCGTTTCAGACTTTCAGTGTCCTACCAGCTGCATCAAGTCAAAGTTTGTTCATCATGCAAGCTCATTTGGCCACAAGAGGATGCTGCCATTTCTCATGGAGAACGGTGGCCAAGTTCAAAAATTGTCTAAATGCCATAAAATTGCTACTCAGATACGTACATACAAGTATCCAACTTGATTCCCTCCCTGTATGTCTGAATGCATTCATCAGTTCTTCAGGCATTTGCCTGTGTATGTGCAAATGCAAAAATGCAATACATATTCACGGTGCCGGCCGGAGGATGTTCGGCGGGGACGCATGGGCGTGCCGCTGGTGCACCACATGTTGGTTATGTTTCGGCTGCATTATGTTTCTTTGTACCCAGTTACTGTACAATCAAAGCAACGCAAGTGTTGTGTTAATTTTTTGTTGGCATCTAAAATAGTTGTAGTTGCACATATAGTAGTCCTAGTTGGCACATGCACGGTCACAGAGTTGCACAATCTGGTTCACATAGTCGCATATGAATTATCGTGGGAGGTTCTCACGCCCGGCCGTGAAGTTGCACACTTTTGTCGGCGCAGTTGCACATGCATGGCAACAGAGTTGTACAATCTGGTCCGCATAGTCACACATGAATTATCGTGAGAGGTTCTCACGTCCGGCCGTGAAGTTGCACACTCTCGCTGGCATAGTCGCACACGCATGGACACAGAGTTGCACAATCTCATCCGCATAGTCGCACATGATTTATCATGGAAGGTGCTCACGCATGGCCGCGGAGTTGCACAATCTCGTCGGCACAGTCGCATATGCATGGCCACAGAGTTGCACAATCTCGTCCGTATAGTCGCACATGAACTATCGTGGGAGGTGCTCACGCATAGCCGCGGGTTGCACACTTTCGTCAGCACAGTCGCACATGCATGGTCACATAGTTGCACAATCT